AAAAAAAAAAAAAAGTGCTGGGATTATAGGCGTGAGCCACTATGCCCGGCCAGATTATTTTTATTTTTTTTACTAAGCTTAAGTCCTCCCATCCCTGATTTGTTAGTGTCTAAATAAGGGGCCTGGCTGTAATCTCCAACATTCCACATACGCTTCCATCATCTCTAGTGCTGACAGAGAGGGCACATGTTCCCAGTGCAGACACAGAAGCACTAGGGAGGCCAAGTGTGGCACATCTACAGTGGAGCTACAACTCCCGCCAGTGTCTCAGTGTCAGGCTCTACCCAGTGCACACTGGGCAGACCTGAAGAGGACTGAGGTCAGGCCAGTGATTCGGGACTCTTTGCAGATGCCCAAGGAGATTTCATGTCTGAGGCCAAAGAAAACTCCTTCTTCCAGGGCTTTTGGAGGACATCTAATGATTGTGAGAAAATGGATAAAAGGCTGGCACGGTGACTCACACTTGTAATCCCAGCATTTTGGGTGTCTGAACTGGGAGGATTGTTTGAGCCCAGAAGTTTGAGACCACCTGGGCAACATAGCGAGACCTTGTCTCTACAACAACAACAACAAAAGCCAGGCATGGTGGTGCACACCTGTAGTCCCAGCTACTCAGGAGGCTGAAGCAGGAGGATTGCTTGAGCCCAGGAGGTCCAGGCTGAGGTAAGCTGGGATTGCACCACTGAACTCCAGCCTTGGAGACAGAGTGAGACCCCAACTGAAAAAAAAAACAAAAAGTAAATGGGCAAAAAGTATGGGTTTAGCTAGTGGGGGATGGAGTAGAATCTTGCTTTCTTTTTATTTTTTTATTGTTTAGAGGTGGGGTCTCACTCTGTCTGTGATCAGAGGCATGATCACAGCTCACTGCAGCTTCAAACTCCTGGGCTAAATAAAGTGAGTATCCTTCCTCAGCCTCCTGAGTAGACTACAGGTGCACACCACCACACCCAGCTAATTGTTTTTTTGGTAGAGACTAGGTCTTGCTATGCAGCCCAGGCTGGTCTCAGATTCCTGGGCTCAAGCAATTCTCCCACCTTGGCCTCCCAAAGTGCTGGGATTACAGGTGTGAGCCACCGTACCCGGCTAGAATCTTGCTTTCTTTATTATGGAATTTCTGCAGGTCCAAGAAGGATACTAGGTTAAACACCATGCTGAAATATTTGCTTTTTCTGTAGATTTCTGAGGATGGCTAGTTGCAAATGGTCCTCAACTGAGTTTGGGAACTTACAGCTCACTTGTTGGTCCTGTTATTTGCCAGACATATTGGTGCTGGGAATGCAGCAATAAAACAGTCACTGCCCTCAGGAAATGCCTACATTTTGTTGGTGGGAGACAGATAAGCAAATTATAGAATAATAAGATCTTGTAAGAAATCCAGCAGGGAAGATGCAGTGTGACAGAGTCAGCAGAGGGAGGTTTGTTCTAAATACAGTGGTCAGTAAAGTGACGTCAGAGTGAAGGAAAGAAGGCAGGAGAGTTGCAGGGTGGAGGATCACATGAAGACAGGCACAGAAGTGCAGAGGTCGCGCGGCAGGAGCACACTTAGGGAGGAGAAGCAAACTGGTAACTGGGTGAAGAACAGTGGTAAGAAATTAGGACACAGCTTTTTTGGCCAACATCTGAATGAGGCTGTAGTGGTCACCATTGCTCCCTGACTTCAAAATGCAGCTCAAGAATGACGAGAAGAAAAGTGCCGGGAAGTCAGCCAAGAGAGACAAAGACCCAGTGAGCAAACAAGGAGGCAGGGCCAGAAAGAAAGAGTAATTCCAAGGCAGAGTTCAGGGCAAGCCCTGTCACTAGTCTTACATGACAAACTCATAAGGACGTTCCCAGCCCTGAGCTCATAGCCCCAGCTGTGGTCTCTGAGAGAAGATTCGAGGTGCTCCGGGCAGGGCAGCTTCTTGGGACTTCTGAGTAAAGGACTCATCCAACTGGTTTTAGTGTACAGAGCCCAAGTAACTTACACTTGAAATTCCAAGGGCGGAGATGCACGAAGAAGGAAACTAAACTAAAACAAACCAAAAAAGTGGCTGGGCACAGTGGCTGACACCTGTCATTCCAGCACTTTGGGAGGCTGAAGTGAGAGGATTGCCTGAGCCCAGGGGTTCGAGACCAGCTTGGGCAACTTGGCGAGACCTTATCTCTACAGTAAATCAAAAAATTAGCTGGGTGTGATGGCGTGCACCTGTGATTCCACCTACTTGGAAGGCTGAGGCGGAAGAATTGCCTGAGCCTGGCAGGTCAAGGCTGCAGTGGCCATGATTGTGCCACTGCACTCCAGTCTGGGTAACAGAGTGAGACTCCAATTCCAAAAGAAAAAAAAAAAACCCTAAAAATTAGGACAGACAGGTGGGTGTGGCTGCTAACCAAGTCTACAGGCCCCATAGGTCATTGCAAGGAGTCGGCTTCTACTTTGGGAAGAGGAGTCATGGGCGGATGCTCAATAGAAGAGGCCATTATCTGACGTTTGAAAAGGACCGCTCTGTGGCTTTATGGGCAGCAGATGAATAAACTGTAGGCGTAGCGAGGAGACCAGGTGGAAAGCCGTCAAAGTTATCCAAGCAAGAGAAAACGACGTGTGAACGTGCGTTGGGGAAGAAGTGAAGCAGCGTTAGAAGAAGCTGCTGAATACTCCATCTGGTGTGAAGGCAGTGCCCAAAGGATGCCTCCAAGGCTTTATCCTGAGCGACTGAAAAGCAGGGTCCAGTAGAAATATGGTCAGTAAGTCATTAAATTAAATCTTAAGCCACCACATTAAAACAGTGAAAAATAAGCAGATGACATTAATTTTGGTAACGCAATTTACCTCACTATACCTAAGACATTATTTCAACATGTAGTCAATATCAAAGGTTCCTAACGAGCTGTTTGACATGCTTTTTTGTATGGAGTCTTCCAAATCTGTTGTGTATCTTACACTTTCGCCCATCTCTCTTTCGACAGCTGCATTTCAAGTGCTTGATAGCTTTGTGTGGCTAGTGGCCACGTTATGGGCTGGGCAAAGTTGCCATCTATACAGAGAGGAAGAAAAAGGGGAGGAGGAAGACTGGGGGTGAGACCAGGAGTTTGATTGTAGACACAGTAGATTTGAGATGACCGTCAAGTGTCCTAGTGGAGGCGCTAAGTGAGCGTTTGTAGCCCTTGTCTCCAAAA